AGAAAATAGCCATTCAAGTCATTTTCCATGTCCTGTGGTTCAAATCCGGAAACCTATTTGAAAAAGGCTACACCATCATCCACTGCTTATCAAGTTCCCCCTTTTCCTCTCTTTTTGTTTCTGTCTGCTCTCTGGCTCCCCAGCTCCATGCAGCACCTCCCACCCACCCACCCACACACACACACACAGACACTCCCTCTTTCTCTCACGTGGACAAGCTAAGGGGAGCCCAGCTTTGGCCCCCACTCTGGCCACCTTCCCCGTTTCACTGCTCTGTATCTTCTGTAATTAACGTGCAGTCGAATGTGAGGATTAAGTGTGAGGGCTGTGGAGCGATCCTTCTGGGTTGAGATCCTGGCTTCTGTCACTTTCTAGGTACAGAGCCCACATCCAAGTTGTTTAACTGTCCTGTGCCACCATTTCCTCAGATGAAAATGGGGGTACTCATGAGACCTACCTCGAGTCACTGTGCTAAATTATTCAACACGTGATGCGTTTAGAACAGTGCACGATGAATGTTACCATACTTGTCATTACAGGAGGCCGTTGGGTGAGGGGCCAGGCTGCTGGTCCTTTCTGGAGGCTGTGCATGAAGCCGGGCTTTGTAACTTACCTGAAGTCGGAAGCCTGGAAAGGAAAACATTGTCAAGCCCCTCTTTCTACCTGCGTGTTGCAATCGTTCATCGGTTGGACACATTTTTGAGCATCTACTATGTACTAACTTAGCGGTTCTCAAGTGTGAACCCCAGCTCAGCAGCAGCGTCACTCGGGGGTTGTTAGAAATGCAAATTCTCACCATCCTCCCCTCATCCTTCCCCCCAGGTATTCCAAATCGAAAACTCTGATGGTGGGGCCTTGGAATAGGTGTTTTAACAAGCCCTCCAGATGCTTCTGGTGTGATAATGTTTGAGAACCACTGCCCTACATGTAAAACAGTCACTCTCTGGACGCCTGGAATATAAACATAAAAATACCCGTGTCCCTGACCTTCAGAAACATACTCTACTGGGAGAGACAAACGCGTAAATAAGAAAAACCAAGGATTCTGAGTAGAACAGTGGAAACACAGAGCCACAAAAGGGGGGGTGGCCAAGTGTGCATTTTGAGAGGAAGGTTTGAAAATAATTTCTAAAGAAGTGATGCTTGAACTAATTCTTAGATAAAGACTAGAACTTTCCCAGTTATAAGTGGGGGAAAGACATTCCATACAAAGGAGCACGTGTGCACTTGGTGATGGGTGAACCTGTAATACAGACCTCAGATTTTAAAAGGCAGCTCCTGGAGAGGAGGGGTTTGGTATTTTGTTCACTGTTGGATCCCCAGGGCCTAGAACATGACCCTGGCTCACAGGGGGCACCAGTAATTATTTGAGTGATTGAACAAAGGTCTTAAATTCCTGCATATTTCATTTTCATGGAAAACATTTCTTCTCAGCGTATGAAAACAAATCAATGTAACAAACCAATGCCTGGATTGTTTTTCTCACATTCGGTATGTTAAAGCACGGGTTGGCAGCGTGAGAGATGTGACCTTTATATCTGCCAGGTAGCGCAGGGAAGCCCAGAGCACTTGCTTGACACAGATTTATCTTGAACCTGCAACTTTATCCAAACGTGCCAATTATTGATGCTTCTTATAAAGATACTGCTCTCTGAAATAGAAACCATGTCAGGTTCCTCATTAAAATGGGAAGAACCAAATAGCCCAGGCAGCGTATTTCCTTCTGCTTTAGTTAAAATCAACTCTGCATACAAAGTGATTGGGTCTAATTTCCCAGTCATGCTCTCACACGCAGATGCTCACTCTTCTTTCTTCTGGATGCCAGGGCATACTTCAGAGCGTCAGGAACTTCCCCAAGGGGACGTCTGCATCTTCACACTGACCACAGCGACAGGTCTGGTGGCCGATTCAAAAGGAAGGACGTATGCCAAATTAGAGCCCAGTAGTGAGGTTTCCTTCCTTTCAGCACCACTTCTAAGGGAGCCACCCTTCGGGACTTCCGCCGCCCCCAGCATCCTCCCCCCAGCATCCCCGGTGTACCTAGTCTGGCTTCATGTACCCAATTAATTACATCTCTGGCTAGCTTGCTCTGGCCTCTGATCTGACAAAGCCTCAAAGGAGGGCTGCTCTGTCCTGTGTTCCTAATCAAGTGGGTCAGAGGTCATGGGTGTTCTAGAGGACAAAGGGATCTTGGAGATCGTGGACCATGCCCTCCCCTCCCCCTCCCCCCATAGCCCTTTCCACTGTCTTCTGGGAACTTACAAACACTGAACATACAAGTGATCTATTATGTCATGGATCTAGAAAGTAAAACACTTAATATTCTTAAAACCAAAGTTTAAATGGGTTTTCTTTTACTTCTCCTTTAGATTGAATTGGGGTTAAAAAGAACCCCCAAAGTGTACTTAATACATGAAATCGTTTTAACTTTTCTCTCCGTTTGGTCTGAGTTTACTGCTCTGCAAGCCCCTCAGTGGTAGGAGAACTGTTACCACAGAGCGGATTTGCTTGCGTGTGTTTGAGAAGCACAGCAAATTTCACGTAATAACCCAGGTATTAGAAGTGTTCATTACAAGCCGCTTCTCTCTGGACCTTAGTTTTCAATCTTTAAAAAGAGCAAATGGATAAGTTTCTTCTAGGGTTAGAATTCTATCAGTTTAAGGTCTTCCTCTCAAGAGCAGCATTAAGGAGCTAAGATGGGGATGGAGGAGAACGAAGGGAGGGAACATGCATTACCACGTTCCCGCTGCTGATTACACACGTGCGCATGCGCGGGAGCCTCCCCCACCCCCACGTTGTTCTTGGCATCAATGGATGGATGCTCTTTGTTTCTAAGTGCACCTTAGATGAGTTGTGTTGCTACTGATAAACAGCGAAAAAAACAATACCAACTGATTTTGTAATGCTACATGATAATAAGAGATTTTTAGATATACTTAAGTTTTGTGGGTTTTGTTTTGTTTTGTTTTACCTTTAGAAAAAACAAAGATACACTTTTGGATAAGAGTTTGTCACTTTTTTAGCACCCCATGTTTACAAATCACTTCGTTTGTTCATTCTGCACAGCTTTATGCATCTGCGAACATATTCTCTGTGCCAGTTCCTGGGATAAGCACTGGGCTGATAGAGGGGAATATAGCTCCATATGGTTATTCATGAAAACATTTGAAAATCACATTAAATAACTTGATAAAGTTGAGGTAGAAAGAGGAACAGAGATAGGTGAGATCACCCATGAAATTCCAGGCGAGAACTGAGCCTTTTTACTTGAAGGTTACCACCCTGAGTCCTACTGCCCGTCTCCAGACATTGTGAGCCTTAGGGACAGAGCATTGAGCTGAATGGTTTTGAACTTGAAAACTTTGTACTTTAAAGTTTATTTTTCTATTTATCCAGTGCCTCAGTTTCTTTGCAAACAATATTTTTCCTTATTTCAATGTTTGCCCTGAAGCATCCTTAGGGTTAATATTTGTGAAGAAAATATATTTGTTAAATACCTTGCTCTAGGTGTTTACCAAAGACATAGTTGCTCTAAAATGGCGTATGATTATTAGCTTTTAATAGTTTGACTTTGCGTAAAAAGGAACAGCCAAAAGCCATGTAACATGTAACACACCACAAATCCTATGTGTTTCACTCTTTCTGCTTGTCTTTATTTCTTTAGTTTATATTGGTTATGGAGGAAAAGACTAGAGTCTACCCTTTTTATGGGTTAAACTGAGAGCCAGTGGTCAGTGTTGAAGGCAGTATTAAGTGAATGCGGGCACATTCGTGGCATTTTGATTGCATATAGATTGGGGCCGAGGATGAGGGACAGAGTTTTATAAAATACACCAGGGTGTAGAAAAGATTTTGCTAAGCTAGTTTATGCAGAAATCAGAAATCAGTGAAAACGCTGATCCCACATCATTTCATTCTGAACTATGAACCTCATTTATCTAAATATTTGGTATGTTTTATTTAACATTCTCTTCCCTCCATCATAACTATCTCAACATCTTTCACAAAAATTACTTTCCAGAAGGTATTTCCAAGTTTAACGAAACTGGAAACTAAATGAAAATGGAGGTTAAGCCTGCAAGGGAAGGGTGAGAGTAAGTTCCAAGGGCCAGGAAGATCATCGCTGATAGTTTGGGAGAACCTGGTTGCAAAAGGGACTCACGGAAGAGATAAACATCTTTGAAACTGGCTATTGTTTGTTCAGAAAGGAGGTTTTGTGAAAAACACTGGAAAGTTAATAGGAAGATAGCAATTCGTGGCAGTTTAAGTTAATGTGAGTGTGTGTGACAGTGTTCACAGGCGAACACTACCTTGTGCTACTGGCAATAGAATCTTTATGAAGTTGAGACTGCAGTCATTAGCAAAGAAAGAACCAAGAAATGAGGACGGAGTGAAAGTAGGAATTATGAACAGCGTTAAGACATGCACACTTAGGAGAGGTCTACTGAAATGTTAAGTTGAAAAATAAGCTATGTTTCAGGATTTCCCATTTCCTAGATTTTGTGTAAGAATAAATTTTAAAGGATATGAGACTCATGGCCTTTGTTTTGGAGGAGTAGGAAAATTAGAAACTATTTCACTTATATAAATAAAAATATCTTGATAAGAAAATAATGAGACATGTTTGTTTTAGGTATCCACACGCAGGTGAATTGAAATCTCGGAAATTGATTATAGATGGAAATCATGCCACATGAGTAGAGACAGTATAAACACAGAATGACCTTACAATTCTGAAATGTATTTAATAATAGATGATTTAAGTTAATTGTAAAACACTAGGTATTTTCCTTCAGACTTAGTCTCCTAATAAAAATTATATGTTAAACTGCTCAGTCTGTTTTGTGTTAAGTTTAGAAAATTAAAAGTAAGTTCACTTGACCTTTGTATATAGCTACCAACTTTTTGGTGCCTAGGAGAGAATTCCTTTATCACATATGTAGTTAACAGCATTATTGATACCTGATTTACAATAATTCTAACTCCTTCTTGTTTTACAGCTTGGCTCATCCTCTTCTGTGCCTTTTACGTCCATTTTTTCTCAGCTTTTTATGACTGTTGTGGTTCCTCTCATTATTGGACAGGTAAGTTCTCCAACTCTCTCTCCTCTTTTCTTTATAGATCAAATTGTGAATTCTTATGTGAGGGCAGGACAATTGAGGGAAAAGCCAGTCAGAGGAAGAAACCGTTCAGTGAAAATCTGAGACTGTGATCACAATATTCTCAATCACAATATTCTCATCTTTTTATTTTTTTTAAATAAATATCACTCTGCTTTGCAGATGGCTATTAATAGGGACACTTACACAGAATCTATTTGTTAGACTTTATTTTAATTGATGATCCCCTCTTTGTAGGTCTGTAGCTAGCTTGAAGCCGTCTATCAAGTCATTACCTTACTCTGTGACTTCTGATAAGGTCTCGGCATTTACGGTCATTTTGGGGAACAAGCACCTGCTTTTGGCTGGCTTCTTCTTAGACTCCTCTGAGAGCAGTGCTCGTATTTGTGATCCTGTAACTGACAAAACAAACACTTACTTCTATTAGCTCTTAAAATTAGCTCTTAGAAAATTTCGTTGCCTCTGTCATTCTTATTGAATTCATCTAACAGAAGAAATTCTAAACTTCTTTTAACAGGTTAATAACGAGCATGTAACTCAATTATAAGCATACGAATTTGAAAATAAGGTTGTTGTTGTTGTTTTAATCACAGGGAGCCACAGTAACAGATCACGGGATTTAATGCTCTGCTGGAAGGAGTCTTAGGAAGGCAGTGTATTAGCATGGCTAAGAGCACAGATACTGGATTAAGACCAATCAGACTCTAGTTCTTATTTCTACCTTTTATTTGCTCTGTGACCTTGGGCGAGTCATTTAATCTCACTAAGTCATTAGACACTTAGCTTTGTCTAAGCTAGTCAGGTTCATAATTCATCTAATTGTATAATAACAGGACCTATCGTAAAAGGTTGTGAGGAGCAAATGAAATATGATGCATATAAAGTTTTTGGCATCCTAGAGCCTGATGCAGGTAAGTGCCTATAACATCTGTCATCGTCTTCAAATTCCCTGTAGATACGAAACAGGAAGCAACTCTTTGAAGTATTAACTATAAAAAAAAGGTGTCTGTATAGACATGTAATATTTACATGCTGTCTTAGATTCTCTGGGAAATCAAGTCTGAGACAGAGGTTTCCTTCATGGAAAGTTTATTGGGGGAGAACCCTTGGGATCAACAGCTCTGGGACAGTGAGAAAAGTAGGGCAGGGATGAGGAAGGAGTTGAATTCTGGTGCATTCCCAGCAAGGCCTCCAGCTAGACCAACCCTCAGAGTTGTCCTGCCTAAAACACAGGTGCCTGGCTTTTTTACTCTTTCTTGCACTAAGTAGTCATCGGATGCCGGCTTCCCTCCCTCCCCAGGAGATGTACGACCTTGGGTGAATCTGCCCTCTGCGCAGCAGTTCCCAAGGAGGAACTCAACTGAGGTCTTTCAGTCAATCAACACACCCTGCAGATGTGGGAATAACCATCTTGGTTCCTGAAGAGACAGATCTGGGGGGCACACCACAGCATCCACTACACATGCACTTTTTTTAAATTTTAATTTTATTCTTAGAAAAGAGACTAAATTTACGGAAATGCGGGAGGCTTTAAAAGCACTCAGAGAATGCCATTTAATTAAATAGAATAATTCTTGAATTATTAGTGCTGCTCACATAACAAGTATTCCGAATAAATCTTATGTCACCTATCTCTCGAACCTCTTTGCCACATTTCCTAAACTCTCACCTCCCCTGGCCTTTTCTCAATTCCTGCTTAATTTTTCTGTTTAGAACATCTATCTATCCACCTTCCCACCCCCAGCTCATTGTTCATTGGACTCTTTAATTCATACCTCCTTTGGGCCACCTGTCTGGAGTATGTTTCCCTCTTATTCTTTATTGTGACATCTTGTGGGAGTCCTTTCTTGGCCTTTGTCACAATAGATGCTTACCTTTTGTTTACTGTTAATGTTTGTCTCCCCCATTAGACTGTAAGCTTCATGAGGACAGGGAACCACATTTATTTTGTGTACCATTCCATACCCAGACCATAGGCCCCCAATCAGTATGTGCGGGATGAGTAAGCGAGGGAGTGAATGAGTGAGTGTTCTATGATCAACGAGGGAAATGCTGTGTCCTACAGAGGCGTGGCAGAACCCACCTGCCCTTCTCAGCTCTGGCCAGTTTAAGCTGTCGATTAGTGGATTAGTTTAAACTCATACTTATTCTCTTCGTTCTGAAAATAATTCCGTATGATAACTCAGGGCTCATATATTCTTCTCCTAGTGAATCTTGGAAATATCTCTGTTAATAATAAATGTCTGCACAACAAGGTCTTACTGTATATAGCATAAGAAACTATATATACTCAATATTCCATAATAAACCACAATGGAAAAGAATATGAAAAAGAATATATATATACATATAACTGAATCACTTTGCTGAACACCTGAAACTAACAGTGTCTTAAATCAACTAGATGTCAATACATATATGCATACATACATACATAAATAAATATTTAAAATAATAAATGTTTGACATAAACTGTATGGACCAAAAAAAAAAAAACTTTGTCTAAGCTAGTCAATGTTTTTTTTTAAAACATATAGGGTTATATAATTTATGTAGTTAAGAATATTTAACCAGAGAGGCTAATGAATTGTTAGATGGCTCGTCTTTGTGTGCCAACTAGTAAAGTGTTACAGTAAGTTATAAAGCAGTAAAGGTCGTCCAAAAGTAACTTGGGTAATTTTTTAAAAGTACTCTGTTTTTTCAAAGAATAAACTTTCACACTTGCAACTACCTACAAGCAAAAAGGTTGTGTGTTTACACCTGCCTCTTATAATCCAGTCTGGGAATTAAGAGTCACAGCCTCAGGCTCTCCCCCTAGAAACCACATTGCCTCCTCTCTTTCCTCACATTTTAACGCTCCTACATCCAAGCAGTCACTAAATGCCACCATTTCTTTTTTTGTTTTGTTTTGTTTTGTTTTTTCTTTTGAAGTATGGTTGATTTACAATGTTGTGTCAGTTTCTGGTGTACAGCCTAGTGATTCACTTATACATTATACATTATATGTATTCTTTTTCACTATAGGTTATTATAAGCTATTGAATATAGTTCCCTGTGCTGTACACTAGGACCTTGTTTATCTATTTTATTTATAGTAGTTTGTATCTGCTATTCCCAAACTCCTAATTTATCCCTCCCTCTACCACTTCTCTTTTGGTAACCATAAGTTTGTTTTCTATGTCTGTGAGTCTCTTCCTGTTTTATAAATAAGTTCATTTGTGCCATTTTTTTAGATTCCACCTATAAGTGATATCAAATGATATTTGTCTTTCTCTTGTCTGACTTACCTCACTTAGTATGATAATCTCTAGTTCAATCTATGTTGCTGCAGATGGCATTACTTCATTCTTTTTTTATGGCTGAGCAGTATTCCATTGCTCATTGTATATACACACCACAACTTTTTTTATCCAATCATCTGTCAGTGGACATTTAGGTTGCTTCCACATCTTGGTTGTTGTAAATAGTGCTGCTATGAATATTGGGGTGCATGTATCTAAAGCCACTTGGAGAAAAATAAATTTTAAAATTTAGATTTAACACGAAAAATGATCCCCACTCAAAAATCAATTTATAAATGTAAAGACAGGGCAGAAAAATAATTATAAAAAAAATCCACAAGAAAATACCCTGAAAAAAAAAATGAAGACACTTAAAACTGTGGCTCTTAACACTTACCTTGGTATATCAGCTTTCTTCCCCCAAAACGTATTATTTTTCCCAGGGTTTAGCTTGGAGGTCATGCAGTAACTGATATCTGGCTCAGCCTATTAGATGTACAGGGATTCAGATTTAAGTTTCCCTTTAACCTTTCCTGGTGCTTAATTTAAAATAAAGAAAATCAAAATGTAGAAGATGAGACAATAAAATAAAAACCTTCCTGTGGAAGAGACTTTCCCTTCACTTTCCAGAGGGAAAAGCAAACAAATTAGTGAGGATTTGTTGTTTAGCTTTGAGTACATGAGTTTCTGTGAGCTGCAAGAGCAAATGATCCATCAGGTCGTGTTGATCTATTCCTAGCAAAGCCTTGTTTCCTGTAAGGTAATCAAACATTTGTATGAGGCAGAGAAGTTTGGAACATTTTAAAACAGCAGTGATTCTGATCAATTAGAGAATGATTGTGTCAAAAATATAAGAGAAGATGGGGTTCCTGCAGTTTATATCCAAAGCACGTATTTGAGGCGTATCAACACGACTTCACCCAGTAGCTTATGAAATATTTTAACACTTTTCTAGCTACAAAGGGCAAAAGCAGCTGCTTTGTGAATTTAATTTTAGAAGAGGGTAGAAAAGCCCTATGGAGGGTGGCAAGGAATAAAATGGCTTACTGAGAAAACACAGGCAAGTATCACTGTAAATAAAGAACAGCGAAAGACAACCTGTTTGCCTCTAGGGCTGCTGTTTCACTCATGGGTCTGCCCAGTTTCCAACTTTCTAGTTGTTTTCTTTATCAAGATTAAGTACCCAGCACTAACACATTGATGTGTTTAGAGGAAAGGTATTCTGGCTGGGAGGGTGCAGGATTTGGAACCTGTGTGTCATGCCGTGTTAAAAGAACCCTAATGTACTGTGAGACCCTGAGGACTTAGTAATGCAGGAAGAAGTCATTAGGTTGACTAAGTCAAATTACATCTTATAAAGTTGATTGATGATTAGAGATTTGTCTTGGTCTTTCAAATGGCTTTGACTTCCGAGTTACACCTCATTCATATTTATTTGTTTATTTTGTCAGAGGGGTCGATGGTGGTGGGAGAAGATGCTTTGACTTTCGGATTTGGGATCATACGTTCTATAACCTATTGCCGAGAGGGACTTCTGTGTTTTTAACTATTGTACATTCAAACAAAATTGGAAGACAGTATCCATTTCAATAACTCCATGTAATTTATTTTCTTTCCAAAAGAAGTCGAGTTGCATTAAATTGGGGCCATTACCAGCTTTACACTACCAGAAACAATAGGTTATAAAATGACCTTTTAAATGAAGTCTCTGTAGCCTTCTAATCAGCACTTCCCCCATGGTGACATATCTGGATGTGAGGCCATCTGGGTCCCTCGAGCACCAAAACTTGCGTTCTAATACATCAGTCCATGGCTGAGTGACAGAACGGTGCTTCGGTCTCTATATGTCACTACACTTTAAGAAAAGAAATGAAGCCTAGATAAATTGCTCTGGTTTGGGATCACTTCAACAAAAACTAAAGAAAACACGATTTTTTATAGATGTAGCTGTAACTTTAATGATAAGATCTACTTTTTAAAATACTTCAGAGACACTATTTGTCTCTCTCTGTAAACCCTCTTCCTCTTCCCTCCCCACCCAGCCTTCAAGGTCTGCACCTGTACCTTGTACCAAACGGTCAGTTTTCTGCTGGGACTCCCTTTCCTTTCCTTCTTTCTTTCTTTCTTTCTTTTTTTCTTTTTTTAAAAAACACATTTCACTTACTGTCCTTGAGATCAGATGAAGTTGATCCAATAGCCATACATCCACAGGTTCTCTCGAGAGTCGTTTATTTGTTCTTGAGGCCGTGTGAAGGCATGCCTCATTGCGAATTAAGCCTTTTTAGCGACAGAGTAGACGATGACAGAACCCCATCAGCCTTGTCAGGAGAAGTTCCCTGACCTCATTATTGCTAATGGATCACGGTAATTCCGCCTGTTGTGAAATCTCATGTTCAATTATGCAGGCTAATGAGTGACTCAAAACTGAATATGTCTCAACTATAGTCCTCATTACAGGGTGTGCTCAGCCTCTTTCAAAAGCAAAAGATTTTGAATAGAGAGGTTCACTTTTATATCCAAACTTCAAGTTCTCACCCATGTTCAGGCTGCCCCCAGATTGAAATCTCTGATTTGATTTTAAAATAAGAGAGGATTGCTATATGACTTAATGTTTCACTCATCCTTTTGTAGGAACGTTAGGACAGGTTTATTCATTTTTAAGTGTTAATTCCGGAATTCTAAAAGCATGCAAATGGCATTTGTCTTTGGAATCACAAAAACTCTAGATAGTCAGAGTTTGAATTATTTAAACTCCCACAACACATGCACTTTTGCTTTTCAAGCATGAGTTATAATTTAATTAAAAACTTCTGGTGCATTGCTAGCATTTTAAATATTAATATGTTCCACGGATCACTTTCGATTATCTACCGTCTTGAAATTCTTGAAGATGTCAGATTTTTAAGATTCCCAAAGTTGCACTTGGAATTGTCTGTTGAGGCGAAGGGGACTGTGATAATTACACACATCCATTAGGATCAGCAGAGGAGATAAACTTTGGGGAGGCTTAATGGGCATGTCTCAGTGACAGCTAGCAAAGAGCATTTGGCATGATTAAGGGTGGATTTGAATGCAGTTGAAAGTATACTCTCATTATGGCCACCAGTGGAAGTTGCACTACAAATGTTAAATTCCCCAGAAGAAGAGTGGTGTGGCAGGGAAGCTTTGAAATCCACTGTGGCCATCATCCAAATTATTCTCTTTCCTTTATGTCTTTCTGCTGTCAGAATCACTTTGCGATGCCCAGCTCCACTCCGTCCATCTCTGAAAAGAGGCAACCTGTTGGTCTCTGTCTTTCAGGTCGTCCGAAGATACATCAAGGACTGGCTTGAAAGGAAGAAACCTCCTTTTGGTGCTATCAGCAGCAGTGTGCTCCTCATGATCATCTACACGACATTCTGTGACACGTTCTCCAACCCAAATATTGACCTGGATAAATTCAGCCTTATCCTCATCCTGTTCATAAGTAAGTTGGAAGGCGGGATATCCTTGCTCTCTGCTCAGCGTCCTCGGTAGCAAAGCTTAGGCACCTGTGTTCCTGAAACTCATTTCCAATGTTAATTTGATCAGAAGAGAATACTTCATTTCATATTGTATGTATGGACTCAGTGCTTTTCTCATGTGGATCTGCTTTTTAAAAAGACATCAGTTATGCACTTATGACTTAATCTCCTTTGTTTGTTATGTCTGATTTACAATGGTTGATGCCAGATGAAAGAAGCCACATTATCTGTCAAATTCAAATGTTTGATTTGAGCACTTTTTCGCCAGCTAATTTTATTGTAACTTTGAGTGAATCTTACCCTTTTTTGTGAATTAAAAATAGGACTTAGACGATACTATCACTTTGTAAGTATAGTAATTGGCTTGTATTGGTTAAAATGTGACTGTTCACGTAATTTTTTCTATGAAAATATACCCAAAGTAAGATAGTTTCATTTTAAGAAGCAGCAGACTCTAAAATGCAAGTTAACTGCTAGGCTCAAAAATCAACCTTTTTTTCTATTTATCCTGTAATACCAAAGACAACTCTTGGTAATTGTAATATTAAAGAACCTTTTGTTATTAAAGTTGACATGAGTTATTCCAAAATATATGTTATATGCTACCGCATTTATGCTATTTTCAGTTACTCGTAAAGCAGCTCTTCCTAAATTGAACACATTAAATAACCACACTTTAAACCAAAGAGGGTTTTAGGGTTGCCCTGAGTAGCAAACACCGTAGTTTATAACCGGGGATATCTTCAGTAAGGAGAAGTTGAGTCCTGCTCATTTAAATGATTCTGTCACTTGAGCAATGTATGTTTGTTTGGCTTGTTTTTCTATTTGAGTTCCCAGAAGTTTCAGATAAAACTAAGCATACCAGTGAACATGTTGCAGACGCTGCTTTTTACGGTGCTAATTGAGATTCCATCTTTTTTCCTTCCTCAGTATGTTCTATTCAGCTGAGTTTTATGCTTTTAACCTTCATCTTTTCAACAAGGTAAGTGATTTGCGATCTCTCGTTGTTAATTTCCTAGACGACGAATCACGCTCTTGACTTGGCTTCTGCGCGGCTGCCCTGTTGGTTTTTCTCCTGATCGCTCCCTCTGGCTCCTGCCACCCTCAAGTTGTGGACAGGACCCAAGGGTCTGTTCTTGGTCCTGGGCTCGTTATTCACATTGTGTGCTTAGGGGGCCTCCTCCGCTCCCCTGCCTCCAGCCCTCAGCTTCCCGCTGATGAAGCCCAGACCTTCCCTCCGACCATGCCTCCAGAGCCCCGGCACTGTTTGTTTATCACTTTCCACCTGGCCATCTTCACCTAACTGTCTTAACAAGACCTCAGACTCAAAGTATTCAAAATGGAATTCATCTTTTTCCCCAATACTTCCTCTTTCTGTCTAAATTTTTCATGGAACTACCATCCACAGCATTACTCAGACTGGAATCCTTCGCATCATTATTTTGAAAATGTCCTGATCCTACCTCAGTAGTATTTTTTTTGTGCTTCTGAGGCCACTTCCCTCATTCAGGCTCTCATGGCCTCTTTCTCCCTAGACTGTTGCCATGGAAATCTTACTGGTGTCTTCCTTTCCAGGCTGAACTTTTCTTCCACATTTCCTATTGCTTCCAGTAATTGAGTTCTGATAATAGCTCTCTTGTTTGGAGATCTTCAGTGGTAACCCAGTGCCTACAGGGTGGAGTTTATTTTAGGGGGGCTAAGTAAACCACTACTGGCGTTCATGCTGTCTAAGCTTTAGGCTGAGGTAAAATCTTTGCTGTTTGCTGGAGGAACCTCATGCATTCTCACTTCAGTCCCTTCCTTAGGCTATCCCCAAGTTGACACTGGTCTCCATGTCCTAGTTCATTTTTCATGTTCTTAGAGGTTCACCTCTCATGCAACTCCTTCCACCAGTGTTATACATTCGACAGGTACTACTTAAGCCTTTGGTAGGAGTAAGTTACCATAGCAAATCCCACAAGTAATGATTCTGACCCCACATGAGTTTATAGACTGGAACTGTGCGCTGATAACTAAGTGTCCTTCTGGTGCTGCAGGAACATAACGTGCAGACGAGTCAAGGAAGAAAGCACTTCCAACAAGAGTGGGAGGGCAAGACCTCATGCATGAGATGGGATTCGACATGAGTCACTAAAATAGCTAATTATTCAGCAAACACAGATGCCATGTGGGAGTTCTTGGGAGAAGAAACAATAGTGCAAACGTAGACACACACACACACACACACACAAAGACTTGATAGAACAATAGGCGTAGAGGGAGATTAAAAATAGTAGTGGTAACTGGAAAGGTAAGCTTGGACCAGATCGCCAGGCCCTTGAATGCCAGGGGATGGCAATGCGCTACCCAAGGGAAAGGGCCTGGGTTGTTTATGGCGCCCGCAGTGGTGTCAGAGCGTGGAGGGTTCAGGCCTCACATCAGGCGCTTGGCTCTTAGAGCACTCGGTGTAGCACGTGGCTGGTTGTAAACAGTCAATAAAAATTTATTGATTGGTGTAATTTGAAGCATTTTTCCCAAGCTTGTGGTTGTGATTTATGAAGTAAGAGTAAAGCCTAGAGCCATTAAGTCACAGGGAAACTGCGACTTAAGTGGGGAAGTCTGAGAGCAGGAGCTATTTTAAAGTCCTTTTTGTAAACGGCTTGTTACGGCACCTTCGAAAAGACGTTGGCCTTTCGCTGGCTGGCTGTTTGCTGGTCCTTGCGGCGGAAGTAATCATCAGACCCCCTCATCCTATCCAGGAAGGATACAGATCTCCTGTCAGTGGCTGCAGAATTCCTTGAAAAGCACAGAATAGCCATTCTTGGGATCACTGAAGGAGGGGAGGGGTGGGGAGTATGGCAACTAGTTGAATCAGAGGGAACATTTCAGCATGGAGTCGGCTGGGCTGTCATAAGGCCTTGGTTTTGAGGCCCTTCTGTTCTGCCTTGTGCTGCCTTCAGTGAAGTTCAGTGAAGGTTTTTTGGGGTTTTTTTGGGTTTCGGGGGGGTCATTAGGTTGGTTGGTTGGTTTAATGGCAGTACTGGGGATGGAACCCAGGGCTTCATGCATGCTAGGCATGCGCCCTACCACTGGGCCCTCCCCCCAGTTCTGGGGTGTGTTGAATTTGCTTGGCCCCCTGTCAGACATGTATGTTCTTTGGTAAACAATGGAATATGGAGTAGCTCTAATCGTGTTTCTGGCTAATGGTTAATGGCTAACACTCCATTAAATTTGGAGGATGTTTCAATTGGACAAAATTTACAAGCTGATTTTCACATTCTACTTTCATGCTGGAAGGCCTCATAGCACCTGAGGATTTGATTGGAGGAATGAAAAACAGCAGCATGCAGGCACTGTGCTAGGGACTGTGTCATTCTGACCGTGAAAGACTACGGTACTATTTATTTTCGTTGCTGTTTTGCAGATGACGACCCACACTCAGAGTAGTTCAGGGGCTTGCCTAAAATCAGATTTTAGTAGTTTAGAGCTCACCCCAAATCAGATGGCAAATAGTGCGCTTAGAATTGAAATTCATTTCCATTTGACATTTCCAGAAGCATTTACCCATGCTTTTTCCACTGCGCTAAACTATTTCGTTTACTTTTTAAATTCATCATACTTGTTTTGGTTGGGGAATTTGTAGAGAGTATTTAACTGGATTCTTCGAGTTCATACACACATACAAACAGATTAGTCAAAGATACCAAGAGAGCCCATTGAGCGTCCTTTTCTTTTCCTCCTTTTTATTCCTTCCTTCTTAGAATTAGTGAAATTGGACTGTGGTGCATTTTTTTTTCTTTTACTTACCAGTTAATAAAGCTAAAACCAATCCAGATATCAGGAGACAAAAATCTCATCATGGAAATCGGCCTGTCTTTTTTTGTGCAGGATGCCAGTGACCTCTGATGGTGGAGGTTTAGCGTAAACCAGGAGAGACCCAGCCTAGAAAATTCAACCTCCCCGCAACACTCTGCTTCTGTGGTTAGCGTTCTCAGGGCCATAGACCTGACCTGTCACCGTGGTACTGTCTGGCCTGTGAGCCTCTTCTGCTCTGCATATTTAAAATATATTTGAGAGTTATTATTCTGTGTTCTCATTTATCTGTCTGCAGAATAATGTCAGGGTTAAAATTGCCAACCCTGGAGTCAGAGGGACTCGAGGCTGAATCCTGTTTAACTATGTCGTAACTTTTGTCACTTTCCTCATTTGTAAAGTGGAGATAGGTACCTCCTACTATCTCTTCGGGTCATTGGGAGAATTAAATAATATGCACCTAAAGCCCTGAGCCTAATACCTAGTGTATAGTAAGTGCTCAAGAAATGTTAGCTGCTGTAAAATATTTATTATAGCAACATAGTTTATATTATTTCAAAAACTAATTACGGACGAGAGAGAATTAGCATTTCTAGTTTTGTAATACATTCTACTTGATGCTTCTCTGTCTCAGTTGCTAGGAACTGGGAGTCGATTCATCAAACCAAGAGTCTGTTGCCCATAGTGACCGAAGCTTTCTGCAACTTTCAGAAGCTTCAACGTTAAAAGAAAAATGTTGAAAAAGCTTAGAAAAAGAAAGCAATAATTGGGAGCCTTTTAAAAATATATGTGAGACAGTTTGGTAGGTGAGTGACTAGAGTAATGGGAACGAGAGTGTCCCTAGGGTGACAAAAGAAACTGTGAGGAAAGGAAAAGGAAGAAAACAGGTATTCGGATATTTGTATTAGGTGCTTCAGTCTTTATCAGGACATTTGCAGTCAGATGTCTCATTGAGCCTCTCGCCACAGCCCTGGGAGGGAAGGACGGTGGCCTGAAGGGTGAGGGAGGGAGAAAAGGGGGGTGGACGACCATTGCTGTTAGTGGGAAGTGTCCTTACATCTCAGAGAGGGGGCGGCCCGCCAGAGCTTTCAGTAACTTGTCTAGTACCACACGGCTAATGACAGTCAAGGACTCTCAAAACAGGAAAGACAAAACAGGTACAGAGGTTCACAAAGGAGAGTCTTTCACGTGGAAGATTCCCCCTGTGAAAACAGTGGGCTTAGGTGGAACCACCTCAGAGGACCTCCTCTGCTCCACATTCTGTAATTCTCCTCGTAAAGCCTTCTGACATGTTTTCCTTTGTGGGTACTGCAAAGGAAGGCAAAATAAATATTATGTGGAAAACACTGACTGAAAGCTTTGTGAGAGACTAAAGAGACCAGTTGAGAAGAAAAGGAAATAAACATCTCGAGGGAAGCGAGAGTAATCAAAAGGATTATTAAAAACAAGATAAAAAGAAAATCAATATTAAAAAGAGATAAGGTAGAGTTAGAAAATAAATCGTAATGGGATGCCATTCAAGAGTGTGAACAGATACAGTAGAGATGCTAATCGCTGAAAGTAATTCTAGTTATTACTGCTTAAGAGAATGGACGGGCGGCTTCGTTCTTCTGTGTGTTGTCCTGACTTCCTGCCGCTGGGTGGGTGAGGGAGGGCCACTTACTAGGAGAGCTGCTCTCGGACACTGAGTTGTGTGGTGGTTTCAGCTTTCTGGTTTTGACAATGTTTTGCTCAGATGGCAAACGCGTCTTCAATATTTGGGGCAACCTACTTTAGGCAACTGGGCGTCAAGATCCCTTTTGGGAAAACACAAGACAAACTGTTATTGTATTTGGCCACTCGGTGACGAAAGAAATACTGGATGCAAAGTGCTTAGAAGAGTGCTCAGTAAATGTTTGCTGCTGTGCTCACTCACCACCACCACCCCACCATCATCAGCTTCCTCCTCATTCGGGCGGAGGGTTAAGTGAGCACGACCGGCTTTCTCCAAGATCCGTGATGTGGAACAATGGTCTGGTTAAGGCAGCCCTACCTAGATGGAATATTGTTTTGTTTTTAGCACAAAAACTAGCACTTTATTTTTTTATTTTCTCTTTTACAATTTTACACTTTTTCCCATTTTTTTTACTGAAATATAGTTGATTTACAATGTTACATTAGTTTCTAGTGTACAGCATAGTGATTCGCATATATATGTATATATACATATATATATACACACACACACACACATTTTTTCTCATATTCTTTTCATTACAAGTGGCTATAATGAAAACAAAACTTATGGTTACCGGGGGAAAGGGGGAAGGAGGGATAAATTGGAAGTTTGGGATTAGCAGATACAAACTACTATGTACAGAATAGATAAACAACAAGGTCCTACTGTATAGCACAGGGAACTGTATTCAGTGGCTAATAGTAACCTGGAAGGAAAAAGAGTATGATGGAATATTGTTTTTTAACCTTAAATATTTCATTATTATGTCCCAATTCCCCCTCCCCACTGAAGGACTTTGTGGCCGCAGAACTGTAGGGCAGTGTTCCAACCCACAGCAGGCTGCAGACCTCCCAGCGCGGACTTACTTACCGCAGTCCCCTTGCCCAGGAGCAGGGGACTAGTAAGCATGCCTTGCAGGCACCCTCTTTGGCCACACTGGAAGTGCCACTCCAGCCTGGCAGCCAGCGCCAGGTTAAGTCAGAGCCTTCTCGGCCAGGGAGGTTTTGACACGTTAGAGATGTGTTGTAATCTGGAAAAAGACAAATATCACGCAAAACAAAGCTCGCCCAAGAAGAAGTGTATCGCCAGACTCTCTTGGAAGACAACCAAAGCGCAAAAATCCAGATGCAGCAACACTCGGGGACAAACACAGGCAGCCAAAGACTTGAGAGGTCCTGTCGTGTTACTGACACCACAAGCTGTGCGTGGAGAGCAGCCCCGAACCAGCTGGAGGCCAGCTGGGTGCGCTCCGTGTCCCACCAGCCCAGGTGGGCCTTCTTTCCCAGGGAAGTTTCTTTACTCATCGTGCACTGACTGCGGATCCTATTCCCCAATCTGCGTATTTCAGGTTCTTCTCATTTCTCAGGTTCTCAGGCCTCAGTGTTACCTCAAATCCTCTGTGGGTGAATGAAGTGCCTCATGCTTTATAAAGAAAGTAAAATCTCTGACATAAATTATTTCTTTCTTATTCTCTACCTGGAAAATGTCTGTAATTTTTACTTACCTTTGTCTTCTTTTGGGGGGGGATAGGCTTGGAGTTAATGAGGTTTATTTATTTATTTTAGAGGAGGCACTGGGATTGAACTCAGGACCTCGTGCGTGCAAGGCATGTGCTCTGCCGCTGAGTTCTACCCTCCCCCATCAGCTTGTCCTTTTTTTGCACAGACTGCAGGACACTCCTCTTGGGCTAATCCCCTCAGCCGTGTCTTCCCAGCCCCTCTGAGGCCATGGTTTTGTCCGTAATTTCTCACTGCTCTGTCTGTATTCTCTTCCATAGTCCTGTTCAGCTCCATGGCCCTTTTCTTCTCTTCACCAGATTTCTTGAAAACACAGCCCCCTCACTACTGCAGATTCAGTACACTTGAACATCAGCTCCTGGGCCTCTTCGTCCATTCCCTATTCCCATGAATGCTTTAATGCTCCTCTTGGTCCCAGAAGCTCAAAGTTTCCAATTTCCCTTTAATCTATCTTCTTCTCTCCAAGCAACGTGAACAATAAAAAGTATAAACTAGCTGTATGAAACACTTGCAGTGCGCCAAGTTCTTAACAAACATTGGCCTCTCTCCTCATGCCAACCCTCAGAAGCAGGCAGTATTATATGCATTTTATAAATAAGCAGAAGGATGGTCTGGATTTAAATCCAAGTGTGTTTGCCCTCATGCCTGTGCTCTTAAGCTGTTGGGAGGGACTATTTCATAGAAGTTACCAGTTAACAGGTTCTTTTAATTCTTCTTCATGGCTCTTACCACCAGCCCCTGCCCTCACTGGGGTTCTTGAGGCCCTAAGTCTTTCTGTTCCTGGCCTCAGCTCGTCAGCCTCAGTCTTAGACTGGGCGGGGTGATCACTCTTCCTTACAGACAGATCTGACTGTGTCATTCTACTATCCCAAGTCCAGTAGCAACATCCCTTCTGCTGTCTTATCAAGTCCACACTCCTGTTCGTAAGCACGTGTCCCGGCACACCAAGTCAGCCTCAAGGGTCTGCTCTCTGCCGACCGCCCCTCACTCCCATTCTTCAGTTCCTGCCCCCTCCCTGAAACACGCATCTGTGCATGTCTGAACCCGTTCCTTCAAGCCTCGCTCGGTTGTCATGTCCTCCAAGAAGGTCCTCCAGGTGCTCCATCATCATGCCAAGCTTGAGATCATCCTTCTCTGCAGTACCAGTTTCTCTCTTTCTCCCTCCCTCCCTCCTTCTTTCTCAACTGAGGTGAGACAGCAGAAATTCACTTTGGAAAAATGTTATTAAAAAAAAAAAAGCTGCAGGTAAGACTGGTTGGGAAGCATGAAATTACAGTGATTTTTTTATCAAATGAGAGGCGATATAAGGGCAGTTTAAATATTCTCTTAACATATGCACAGAGGAGGAAGTGGAGGAGGAAAGGGTCCTTCTCCCCTCCAGTGAGCATACAGCAAAAAGCCAGGATGTGGGAGCTATATATCGGGGAGCTTTTTCTCCCAGTGGAAGTCACATATAAGGATGAGATTACTAAGGGCAATGGTGGGATCTCTTTCTTTAGAGATCCTTAACAATGGTTAGGTGGTTATATCTGCAACCATATCCATGCCTCAGGTTCTAGGACACTTCTCCATTTGCTAACTCTTGTCTGAGTTCAGGGCAGGGAATACGTAATCTCACTATACCTTCCAACTCTGAGTCTGCAGGGAGAAATAGTTTCTAGCCTATCAAAGACACAATAATAATATTTACATTTCTAGCCTTGTTGGTTCCTAGCTCTATAAATCTTTATACTCTAAAATAGGAAATCTCACTATAATATTCACCACTAGTGACCCTCATAACATTTAAAAGATTTTGACTCAGCAAGATTTTTTTTTATGCTTAACATATTATGTAACAATAAAGCATAGCAGTTAAGAGCATCAGCACAGGAGCCAGACTTGATTTAAATCCCGGCTCTGTCACTCACTAGCTATGGGGTCCAGAGTAGGTCATAACTTCTGTGTGTCTCAGTTTTCTCATCTGTAAATAGGGATATTGTATTGCCTACCTGATGGAGCTTATGTCTTTACATGCAAAGATCTTAAAAGAGTACCTGACCATTTACAGCAACCTGGATGGGCCTAGAGATTATCATACTAGGTGAAGTAAGTCAGACAGAGAAAGACAAGTATCACACAATATCACTTACATGTGGAATCTAAAAAAAAAAAAAAAAGA